GCAACTACTACTACTACTACTACTACTAATACTACTGCTACTACTACTACTACTGCTACTACTACTACTACTACTACTACTGTAACTACTACTGTAATTACTACTGTAACTACTACTACTACTACTACTACTACTACTACTGTAACTACTACTGCAACTACTACTACTACTACTACTACTACTACCACTACTACTACCACTACTCCCGCTGCTACTCCTACCACTGCTGCTTCCGCTAGTGCTAATGCTGCTCCTGCTCCTGCTGCTGCTGCTGCTGCTGCTGCTACTGCTACTTTCACTACCTCCGGCACTACCACGACTAGGACCACTGCTACTGCTGCTGCTGCTGCTGCTGCTACTACTGCTGCTTCTGCTACTCCTACTACTGCCGCGGCCCTGACACTTACCACAACGACTGCGACGACTGCGACAAGGAATGACAACACTATTGCCAACATCCAGTCGAATCCGAACACTGATACTACGCCTGCCAAGACATCTCGTCGTGTTCTTCTTCAGTTCTGCTGCGCTGGTCCCAAGACCGCCCCCACCACCACCACCACCACCACCACCACCAACAACAACAACAACAACACCAACAACACCAGCACCAGCACCAGCACCAGCATCACTACAACCGCCGCAGTCATGGTCCGAGTAAGGCTACCGATGGCTGCGGCAGGCATCATTGGGAACAAAGAATGAGGGCGAGAGAGGCAGAGTGAGGTCCAGGAGAGGTAAGTGTCTCGAAGGTACCAAAACTATTCAACGGGTCAGTCTGTTTCACATCGACAGGAACCTTCCAGAGTTCTGTTCCACCAGGCATCTCCCAGGGTGTGACTAGGGAAATGAGTCGAGGTTCGGGGCTACAGGTTTCGTCATCGTTGGGCAGGTGGTTCGCTCTTGGCTTAAAGGTCACATAAAGGATGCGCAATAGGCATACGTGCAGGACAAGCATGGCTTGTCTGGACGAGAGCTCTCGGACATCCACGAGACGTACACTGCAAGTTGTCGGATGTTTGCCAATGGCAAAGGCGCATGCAATCACCAGTGGGCCGGCTACTTTTACGACGGCCTCTGGCTCGTAGCTTCTATATTGCACGCCTACTTGGTGGATGAGCATCGATCCATCAGCGGTTTGGGTACAAACTATTCCAGGGAGGCTTTGTACAACCTTTCTCTGCATCAGGATTTCATAGGTTTGACCGGCAGGGTCCGGCAGTTCAATGGCGTCGAGCCCACGACAGATCCTGCATCCTATGGAGACAGGGAGGGTATCATCCTACTCCGCCAGGTCACTGGCCCGGTGGAGGATGCATTTACCGTCCTTGCGCATCGCTCGGCTGCTGGTTTCCACTTCCTCAAAGATGTCCATTGGAGTAAGCAAGATCTCAGCCAGAGCATCCCGTGTGCTGCGGGATCCTGTGACCTCGCAGCGGGTTGGGTTCCGGTCGATCAGGACAGCCGTTGCGCAGGCGGGAAGGTTTGGAGCAACGAGCTCGGATGTGTGGGTTGCCCTGCCGGAAGTTACAGCACTGCGTCGCAAGCAAGCTGCTTCCCTTGCCCCCGTGGCAGCTTCAGCAATTCCAGTGGAACGGCCAGCTGCGAGCCATGTCATCCGGGCAGCTCTGGCATCATAGAGGGGCTCGTGCATTGTGTCGATTGTCCGCTCGGATACTTCATGAACGACAGTGGTGCCGAGGAGTGCAGGAAATGCCCTCGCGACTCCTATGCCGACAGGCGCGGGCTGTCGCTGTGCACTCCATGCCCTGAGGGGAAAAGTATCGAGTTCGAAGGAGCCACAGAGCTTTCGATGTGCACTTGCAAAGGGTGGCTTTGGTTGGGACAATGTGTCTTGTGCCCATATGCCACGCGATTCGAAAAGGGCTCCTGTATCCAGTGCGCCATGGACGAGATCTGTGAGGATGGTCGAGTTGTAGGACATTTGCCTTCGAAGTGGGAGTGGGCACAGAGCATAGAGCATGCTGGGCATCTGCCCCAGCTGTCACAGCGCTTGGCGAAGCAGCTCTTGCTGGTGGTTTCGGGCGTGAGATCCGAGGAGAACCAAGCTTCCCTGACCCGGGACATGGCAAGCTTTGACTGGATCTTGCAGGTGCGGCTGCTCATGAATCCGTCTCCCAACTTCTTGACCCCTTGCAACCGACGGACAGGAAATTCTTCCCCGAATCAATCCAAGGCAAAAACTAATATAGGGGCCTGAATAATTACCTTCTTGTTATCATTATAGTATAATATACCCCAAAACCCTATTCTAATTATTAAAACCCCTGCATTAGGGGATTTCGATCATGGCAGGCCCTCATCTCGGGCAACAGCACGCTGGGAATCGTTGCCGCTCCAAACGAGGAAGTAGCTGATGCTCTGTCGGTGCTCCTCGGCTCATGTTTGGGGGCAGAGCGTGTTCCTGTCCGGGGTTTAGGGTGTAGGGACTTTTGACCAGGCAGTCATCAAGTCCGGTTTCAAAAGGGACTTTTGACCATCTGCTGCTGCTGCTGCTGTTGCTGCTGCAACAACAGCAGCAACGCCAAGATAAACTGGAACACAGATATGGAAACAGTCTTCGCTGATGACGACTGCAGAAAGACGAGCAGTTGAGTGAGCAGAAAAGGCAACACTCAATACATTTGCAGAAGAAACAACTAGTTTGACAACACTGCTAACGCCATCACCGACAACCATGACAGCAATAAAAGCAACAGCAGCAGCAGCAGCTGCAGCTGCAGCAGACGCTTGTTGTTGGCACTGCCACTACTGCAGCGACGACACCGTCGTCGTCGACGACGACGACGAAGGCGACAACATCGGTGGTTATGGTCCTCGTCATTACGATCATCATTATATTAATTTTTCAGTGTTTCAGTCATTATGCTTGACAGCAGCACCTTCTTGCGGTACAGAGCACACTGACAATCGAGCACTGACTGCTTAACTACCGGTCTCAGCGTGAAGAAGGCCACACGAACCCTCATGCATCCTCGCCCCCCAAACTCGGCAAAAGGACTGCCGCCATGTGGGCAAGCTTCAGTGACCTCTTGGGCAGAAACCCAACCGACGCGGTCATGCACGAGGTGTTTGATCAGTGCCTCAGCTAGTTTCGGAGGATTTTAGGCTTGGGGCTGCGGGACACGAGGCCGCAAGACATGTAGGACTGGCGAAGCCGGACCATGTGTAAGATGTTGTCATCTGTGCGTGCGCACAGACCACCCAGGAACATGCTGCTGCTTGACGCTGCGCAAAATGTCCTCCATGCTTTGCTCGAAGCTGCAAGGTCCGCAGGCTATTCGGGAAGCCTTGTGGCGGAAATCGCAGAGTGTCAGATGATGCTTGTCGAAAAAATCTGCAAGGAGAGCTTGTTCGTCGCGGCAGATATTCGGGTGGCCAAGGCTCTGCAGAGGCTTGCAGAGGCCAAGGAGCATTACGAGGCAGCCCATGAGGCGTTGGTGTTGGGAGTGGAGGCTGCAAACATCCCGAAGTTGACGAGCTTGTGCACCATGCACAAGATGCGGGATGTGACCTACTATGCCAAGGAAGTGCATCGACGGGTCCGAGGGATCTTGAACGCCCGAACCTCGGAGGAGACTCTTCGGCTGGCACAGGGTTTCCGAAACGACATGTCTGTGGTCGTGGACCCGCTCTCCCAGGCCATGTCGTCAGCCGTCCACCTCTTCGTGCTGGATGATGGCACCTGCAACCCGCTGGCAACAACAACGCAGGAGCAATGGATGCATTTGGCGCGTGGGCTAGCCGAACAGCGAGTGGCAAGTCAGGGTGTCTTCCGGTACTTCATGCAGGTTGGCCCCCAGATCTAGACTCCTGCCCCAACCTGGTATGGTATGGCACAAAGCATCCTATCCAGCAGAACGGAAGCCTTCAAGTAAACCCCCTGAGCACACAGGTGGTCCATGGAATTGACGTGGCTTCCAGCAAGGTTGACCTGGCGGTGCAGCTCGCGAAGAACAACAACCAACTCCTTGGGCTGGTTCAAGGGAGCAGGGAGGAAGACATCCCTGCTCCTCCGACGCAGGAGTTGCTATCCCAGCTTGTGAAACTGCATGTTGCCTGGCAACATATGAGCAAGGTGCTGTCAGATGCAGTTCATCAGGATGAGATTGCCGAAGTTGACATCACAGAGGTCGAAGTCTACAACCAAGAGTTCCTCAGGGATGCAGACATTGTCATGGAGCTGCTAGCTGTGGTACACCACTGCCCGACTCTTGGCATCCTGAACATCACCAACCATCAGGCCTGGCCTTCGACATGCTCTTTACTCAGACCGCTCTCATCAGCTATGGCCATGCAGGCGACAACTTGGACGAGCTGAATCACACCCGCGCGGCTTTCCATGTGGGGTACGAGGTTTTGCTGCAAGGAGCGACTGCCGAGGAGGCCGGAACAGATTTGCGGCCAGTGGAGGATGTGTGCATTGTCAGGGCCATGGCTTCAGTCGCCCGCTCTTTTCACCTTTTGGAGCAGGAATCCCTACCGGTCGTTGGTGGAGCTGGCTCTGAAGGGCTTCGGAGGATGATGGCCCTAAGCACAGAAGGCATTTCCCACATGGCACTAGCCTCGGACTTTCTCCTGAAGTACTACGCGAACCAGTCCAGCGTGACTTGCCAAGACCCCCTTCTCTCGACCACGGAATGGCTGCAGCTGATCGAGCACATGTCTTTGCTGGCGGGATTGGGCGAAGATGCCTCTTCGGCTTACATGTTGACGGATGGCAGCAAAAGCAATAATCAGGAAGCCGTGGATTCAAAGATGCAGGAGATGGCAGGTGCACTCCGCGATATGAAGTTTGGTGCTGCAGACCCTCCGCTCCCACCACCTCCAACCCAAGCTTTGTTCGACAAGAACACCAACGGTCTTCACAATGCCCTGGAGTCATTCAGGATGGCTTTAGTGGGACTTGACCGCGCTGCAGTTCTTGCTTCATGCGACGACTTCTTGTCGCAAGTGCACCGGATAGAAGCAGATTATGTTCAAGCAGCACGCGCCACACACCCAACGTGGCCAGGGGCTCGTGTTCGTGTGGCCAGCTGGCAGGCCGTGCTTGCCAAGAAAATCTTCAAGGAATCCTTGCTTCCGACAAATCTTAGGAGGGCAGGTGTCTTGGCTGCCGCTGTCACACGGTTCGACACGGAGCACAAGCGATTGCGGCATGGTGGTGGAGGTCTTTCAGGCATCAGCAATGAGCGGCAGGACCTCTACCGGCAGTGGCAGAATGTCGATGATTTGTGGTCCGACCTGAAACAGCATGTTACTGGCCAGACTAGCAGCACAGAAATAATGAGAGCCACGCTGCAACAGCTGGAGCAGGAGTTGCACATCCTGGTGTCACTTTGTGGTGTGGCGGATCCCCCGGCAACAGAGAAAGGCACAGGCTTAGTTGTGGCTATTTTTGCCTCGGTAAGCAGCATCCTGGCATTTTGTGCTTGTTGTGGCCCGCTCTTAGAGTACAGCCGCCAAAGGCGAGCAAGGAGGAAGCAACAGGAACATACCCATGCCAAAATAGGAATTCAATCTGGCTTTCCGGACTCTCAGGATAAGCCGCGAAATGATATCACCGGCATTGTCTAGCCTATAATCATTTCATCCCAGTGAAGTCGTTTACGGAAGCCGCCAGAAAACTGGCTGGCCTTCGCAACCCTGCGAATTTTGCCAACGTCTGGAGATCCCGGTGTGTTTCGGTTCTCCAGGTGATCACACTGCAGCATGTGCGTGAGACTCTTCCCGGAAATGGCCCTAGAGCCGTAGAGACCATAACAAGGGTGACGATGGAGTCAGTCCAGCACGATAAGCAACGTCTTAAACTTTGAAGGCCTTCTCTGTCAACGGTCCCCGGGTCTTTCCGGACACGGATGAGCCCGAGCCTAGATTGAATGTCACTTTGTGCGAAATTTCTGGCTTCAGAAAAGCATGTTGGGTCTGGGCCTGAGCAAGGTGCCTAGAACTAGGTCGGGGCAGCTTTCCGCAGAGACGGTCTCATGCAATGCAGTCCTTGCAGCAAGCTCCCACTTTCCGGGCTTTAGCGGTGCTGGCTTTGCGGGTCCAGGCTTTAGCTTGATATCATACTTCAATGAAGTTTAGGGTTTCACCGTTGGAGGCACCATACTTATCCCAAGCTGATGTTCGCTTGTTGCTGGAACGCTTTGCATCGTGCGGCTGCATGGGCCTAGTGGGCAGGCCTGGTTGTCCAGCTGCGACAACTGTCCCACGCAGGTGCCCTAAACCGCCTAAACCCCAAACCCTGTTTGGCTCCAAGTGCCGGTGCCCTGCTGAGAACTTCCGGCCAGGCGACGTTCCCGCAGCACGTTTCAGATTTAAGTTCCAACCCACAACGGCAAACATGCCACTTGTTTGAAGCTGCACATGGCAAGGGAGTTTGGGAGTGGGTTTGTGGAAGCCATCCACTGTCTCAATTTGAGTCCGGCAGTATACACCCACGCACTCCGACTCCTTCTCAGTGCGCGATCCGTGCAAACCCCCAAAGCTCGATCCCATCTCTCCTGGTATATGCTTTCGGGACACCATCTTACAAAAGAGGTCCCGTGCACATCCCGACAGATTCTGTGTTCAGGCGGCCAGAACTGCCCCAAAAAAGCTAAGAGGACCATGCTGGAATCGTCCTTGCGTTTTGCGGCGGAGCCTGAGACTTCTAGGGTTTAGGGTTTAGGGTTTGGGGACTCAATACGGTTGGAAAGTTCAACTCTTGGTAGAAACTTCGTGAACAGCGAGTCACGGCTTCGAGTTTCGCTCAGGATGACTCTGGAATGCAGTCTGCGTCTTGTCTCTTCTCAATAGTGGAGGCTATGCCATGCCGAAGCTGCATCTCTCTCTTCCGCTTGACGTGACGGTCAAAATCAGAAGCTGGGACAGGTCTTATCGAAACTACTGCAGGTACTCCACAGTCTACCCTACTGACCAGACGTCTCTTTTTTATCGTCGGGTGAGTTTTGCTATCCCTACACAAGAAGGAAGTTATACGCTCCATGTTCTGGCATGTTAACGGAGGGTTTAACGCTGAAGGTTCGTAATTGCTCCCTTCCTTTGGAGCCTTAAATCCTAAACCCTAAAAACACTTTTAGATTGAGCTTGGATTGTGTGGAGCCTTGCCTGCCTTGCGCGAGTGTGAGAGTCGAAGCCCTAAACCCTAAGTTTTTGTTGCCGGGGGCAGTGTAACTGGCGGCAATTCCACCGACTCCTCAGGCCGTTTATGTGATGTGCCTGTGTGGTTTTCTTTCGCGTCTGAACTTAGGATAACTTAGGTTTGGATTATATTATATATATATATATATGTAAAATGACTACGTCTTATGAAGGCTGGCTGGAGGAAGCCCTTCGCGGTCCATGGGTTTCAGTCGAAAGGGGCTTGAAGCGCTTGCGGAAGGATAGGGCCCCTAGGTGCAACTGAACATAAGATGGGAGGGTAATTACCTAGTTATACTATTTTGGGGGTTCCTTATCATGGTTATTATGGCATAATTACCCCGAAACCCTATTCTCATTATTAAGGCCCCTACATTAAATTGAGTCCACAGTCGCTCAGCAGGGGTCTTGGGATGCTTTTTGTTGGGGGGTTCAAGGGCTTTTGCTATGAGGCTATGAGGCCCCAAGAGCTTCGGAGGTCCGGGGGTTTAGGGTTTAGGGTTCAAACATAGCTTATAGAGTTTAGGGTTTAGGGTTTAGAGAGCTCACCAGAAAAACGAAGTTAGTCTCTTTGTCTCAGTCTTGTTCTTACTCTTTTTGCACCACCGCCGATTTTCTGTGTGCAGTCTTGAGCTGCGCATGTCCCCGAATCCCGGTCCCTGGAACTGTCTTCTCCCGTATCCTTAAACCCAAAACTCTAAACTTTGACTCTAAACGTTGGAAACCCGATTTGTTTGCTACGACTTCTCCTGCTTGTGCTATCTCTCCCTCTTCCCTCGCTTAGTCCCCCGAAGTAAGTTTGCCGAATCCGCCGTCCAATGTCGCGACTCTAAACCTGATTTAGGGTCTGGGGTTTAGGGTCAGATAAGTTAGAAAGGGTAATGCAGTATAACTATAATATAAAGCCCAAATCATTACAAATATTATTCCTTAGGGCTCCTGATTATAATCATACTATAAAGGAGCCCAAAACCTTGTTCTAATTGTTAAGGCCCTTTCATTAACAGCATAGAATACAAGAGAAAATTAGATAAGGTAAGGTAAGACACTAACACAATATGATATGAGATCATCTGTTGCCCCCACTCAGCCGCCAGGAGGAGCACGCGAACATCCAGGAATCCTAACTTGAAGGTCCGAAGGCGTCCGATCAATCGGTCAAACCCTGTCAGAGGATGCCTGCCTCCTAAACCCTAAACTCTAAACCCTAAACCCTAAACCCTAAGCCCTGAACCCTAAACCCTAAACCCCAAGCCCTGAACCCTAAACCCTACACCCTGAACCCTAAACCCCATAACCACTTTGTGCTTCTCGGACCCCTGCTGTAACTCTGCCGGCTCTAGCGGACGGAGCGCGCCGAGGTGCAACGCCTGAGCGAAAAGGCAGCGCAGCAGCTGCAGGTTCGATGCGTCTTTGCTGGGTTTAGGGATGTAGGATGTAGGGTTTAGGGATTTAGGGTTTAGGGGTTTAGGGTGTAGGGTTTAGGGTTTGGGGATTTAGGGCAGGGTTTAGGGTGTAGGGTTTAGGGTTTAGGGATTCAGGGTGTAGGGTCGGGATAGGTGCTATAGCTATTCCCGCCTGCAGGTTTCGCTCTTGTTTGCGAAGGCTACAATGCACCCCGAAACCCGATTCCATTCCTGAAGGCCCAGGGGATGGCCCTGCGACGTAAGCCCGAACCTGTCAGAGGTTACAGATCCTGCATAAATCCGAAGGTTATCCTTTCAAAAAAAAGCTCACTGGATATCCAGGGCAGTTCATGGCATCAATTTGGGATAGAGTGCCCTTAGGTTGCGAGTTTGTTAACTTCTGGTTTTTCTTGTCAGCAACCTGATGTAAACCAAGGGTTGAAGTCAACACAATGTGTTGGAACTGTTCGTCACATATCTGACTGTAGTCGTTGTTGCGGTTGCGCCGTGGCTTCGCATCAAGAGTGTCGTGCCAAGTTCTGCTTTTATGCGCTTGTCTGTCTGGTCATGGTGCCTTCTGGTATCGACATCATGTACATTTCCGTGGTAGAGCTGTAGGTCTGCATTCGGTGAGACTTCGTAGCTTTAGAGAACATGTTGCGCAAGTGGCCGATGCATCTGCGCTGCTACCATACTGCTTTGGCGCTTATCCGATGTTGCGACCGCAACTTTAACATTTGGAGACATGATTCTACATGGCTAGTTATGC